GTGCACCCATCAATTTTCAAACATAAATGCATTTTAGGAAATAATAATAATAATGATAGTAAACATGAGCAATGGCTTTGGTTATGATGTGATATGCCAGGCATATCACATCATAACCAAAGCCAAATATATATATCCAACTGTACAAAAACACTCAAGAACGCACAATCACACAGCTGTTCACAAGCACGGATCCCCCCCATTGCCTAACTACTACTCAAAAGTCAACCTGGAAAATAGCAAAATAGCATGGGTTTTTGCCTTCCTCCCATACCATTTTCCCTATCCAAAAATGTCTCTGGGGAGAATTATTACCCCCACCCCCACCCTGTGTTGTGGTCCCATGGATCATTTCAATCCCCATAGACATTCTGCACATCTGCTGTTTACCTGCAGGGAAAGTGAGTAAGGTCCACAGGAACATCTTTTTTAATTGTCACATCCAGGGGTCGTTTCATAGAAAAAGAGCTAGGGGAACTCATTAGCATATGCCACACACCCTGACATCACAGGAAGTGTGTCATAAGGCCACACCCCCTGACATCACCGGAAGTGTGTCATAAGGCCACACACACCACCCCCAACGTTCCCGGCCGCCGCTGCCGGCCTTGCAGCTCCACTGCCGAGCCCCATGAGGGGCCCGGCGGTGGACCTGCAAGACCGGCGAGAGTGCAAGGAAGCCCCGCGGAGGCCCTCCCTGGCCCCAGGCAGGCAGGGGTGGGGAGAGGCAGGGAGGAAGCAACTTACCCTCCCTCTTCTCCTGCCTCCTCCTGGCTGAATGAGGGCCGGAAGCGGGGCGGCCGGAAGCAGAGGGTGGGGCTTCGTCATGTGCCCCGCCCCCCCGTACCTCACCCGGGGGAACTGCGATCCCCCGCGATCCCCCCCGAAATGACCTCTAGTCACATCAGAACAACTTTAAGTGGAATAACCAGATGAAAAGGAGGGAAAGGCTGTATTGCCTTCAAAAGCCTCACAGAACAAACAGACTTTACAAAATGATTGCAGGAGGTATGTATCTGTTCCCCACAAGGATCTTCTCCTCACTCCCTTCTCCCCCGGCTGGGAAGCCAGCTGCTGCTGGGCAAGGGGGCACCTCTGACCATGTGCAGAGAGGATCATGGGCCGGGCGGTCAGGGGGCGGTTTCAGCAGGCTGCTCAGCCACTCCATGTGGCTTCTTCTCTGCAGCCCTTCCCCAAAAACGACTCTTCCTCAGCCCCCCCTTTCTGCCCTGCTCCTCTGGCTGCCCGCCCCAGAGAGACGGACGGGAAGGGGAAGCCGGTGGGGCCCGAGGAAGGCCAGGAGGAAGGCCGACGGGCACCAGTCGCTGGCCCTTCGGCAGGCAGGCAAGCAGGTCGGCTGGCTGTGGTCTCTTGTCTCCCTGTCCATCTGCCCGCCCATCCCAGAGCTACCTCCAGAGGAGGAGGAGGGCCTTCCCAGAGCCGGCCAGGTAAACAGCTCTGTGCAGCGCGGAGCCTTTTGTGTTTCCCACCCGGCCGGAAGACGAGGCAGAAGGCTCTGCCCCACCAAGGCTCTGCCCCACCAAGGACTTCCCAGGAACAGGGCGGGGCGGGGTGGTCTGAGACTAGGCTGGGAATCAGGGGAGTGAAGAGGCGGTGGTGGCAAGCGCGTGGCACGAGCTTTTGGTGGGGGCCGGGGGGGCTTTTGGCGGGGCTCAGTCCAGTGCCCCCGTGATGGCCGCGCTCTAGGTGAGAGCCTCGTTCGCCTAGTGAGCGAGCCGGCCCTGGCCCCAGTCCAGGATTCGCAGTAGAGCCCCTTTCAAAAAGGAGCTGTAATGCAATGCCCAGGACATTTTCAATATAAGGTAGAAAGGCGGGTTTCTGATTTTAAAAAAGTAATGGAAAAGTATCTGGCTAAAGTGTGGACAGTATCGGCAAAAGTGAACTGAGGAGTGGATGGACGTTTCCTGCATAGAGAAACTTGAACTCATCTGTTGCTGATCTGCCACCACCCTTCAAGCTCCACCACAGGACACATCCAAAAAAGGATTCCTAGCTATCATGCATCCTCTTGGACTATGCTGAGAAGGAGTGTTAAGGACGGTGTCACAAGTTGACCAGAAGAATTGTTGACCATTTGTGGGTGCAAAACACAGCCTCTTGCACTTTACATAGCCATGGAAAGCTGTGTTACAATGAGTCTACAACAAGTCCAAGATAATTTACTTCCATTTTTTCAACCAGAAATGTATGCTCCTATTTGACTGCTGTTTTTGATTTCCATTCTCTTCTTATGCTCTTATTCCATGGTGACTAAAGGGAATCTCCACAAACAGAGGCAGTAAACCTCTGAATACCAGTACTAGGACATAAGATCAGTGGAAGGCCTCGGCCGCTATGCCCTATTGTTGAACCTCCAGAGGAATGGGTTGACCACAGTGTGAGACAGGACGCCGGACTAGATGGACCACTGGCCTGATCCAGCAGGGCTCTTCTTATGTTTTAATAGCTCTTCTTGCATTTTTTACTCAAAATTCATGTGTGTTTGCAATGAAAATGAGCTTCCAACAGGCACTCACTGGCAAGTTATCAATCAAGACCATAAGAAGAGCCCATGTAGCCCAGCACCCTGTTTCACACAGTGACCAACCAGTTGCCCTGGAGGGACAACAAACAGGAAGTGGAGGTGAAGGGCCTCCCCTGACATTGCCTCCACAGCTTTATTGAATGATATCTCTGTAAACTGGGGAACAGTAAACTGGGAAAAGACAGACAGAGCATTAATGCCACAGAACAAACATCTACTGAAGTCTGTTTTATAGCTACCTCATCAAGAAATACGTATACATTTCAAAATTCATTGTGCAGCACTTTGCTACAAGCTCTGCTGTGCGACCAGTACTAAACTGCAGGCAAGGAACTCTACCATGTAGTTCCTTGAAAGGAACATCCTATTGTGCCGGTGTTCTGCCTCTGATGACAGTTCAATGCTAGCCATAATGGCTTGGATCCTACAAACAAGTGACGCACTATCATGGATTGTACTTCCTCAAAAACTTCCATTTGACGGTTTATTTAGCTTTGACAATTATTGAAGTTAACAGATCTTAAAAATAGATTAAGATGTATTTCTTAAATAGAGAGGGATAAGTTACCTATAGATATGTGTAATGAAAAAGAAAAGGAGGTGATGAAGAAGACCTAAGAATTGAGCAGGAGGTTGGAGCACTGTGGGAAGCCGCGCGGGGGGAGGGAGGGTATGATGTATTAGTATAAAAGTTATGACCTATATTTGACTATGTTTATTATATCCTAATAAAATGGTTTAAAAAAAAACCTTCCATTTGAGTGAGAACAATGGTTTTCAGTGGGCCCATATGCAACCGGACGTTTTAGGACAACAGGAAGTGCAACCCAAGGCAAAGTCTATCTAGTATGCACAGAAGTTGTTGAGAGGCTATGAAACCTAATCATCATCATCACTATTATCATCACTATAAGCTGTAAAGAATGCCACCAACGTGCAGGTGCTCCACAGAAGAAGTAAACAAACAACAAAAATGACTGATCCTCACCCCGGGGTGCTGTCAGTGTCACTGATCCTCACACCCAAAACGTATCAGTGGGAAAGAAGAAAGATAAAAGATGAGCCCTGCTGAGCCAGACCAAAACTGCCTCCCCCTCATCCAGCCATTGTGTTTTCAACATAGACTAGCTGGATGCTTCATGGAAAGGCAAGAACTCAGTGACATCTGCGGCTAAAACAGTCTCCGATATAGATTTGGGAAAGACCACTGCCTGGAACACTGCCAGCCAGAGCAGACAATACTCAGCTAGATAGACCAGTGGTAGAATACAGTTCATTAGGAGTCTGTTCAAGTTCAAAAGCAGGGTGTGGACTCTTCCCTATTGTTTCTTCCAAGCATCTGCTACTCAGGCACATGGCCTGTGAAAGCTTATGCTAGAATACATTGTCGTAGCCTTTCAGGTGCTACAGCACTCCCCTTGGGTTGCCATGTGACTTTTTTAGCTAGTAACCACTGAGCAACTAATTCTCCATAAATGCCCGTGAGGGACAGGTAACAAACAACAGAGCGTGGGATGAGAGAGGCAAGGGTAAAAACGGGGTCGGTGTGAACAAATGCTGTTATACTTCCACTAAAAACGTTTGCAAAGCCTGGCCATGCTCACCTCTGCCTTCCTTGGCAATATCCTCCAATAGCCGTATGCAACAGAGTTTTTGTTCCATGTTGGAGAGAAAGAGCACTGTTGCCCCAAGGGACAAGGCGGGCGGTTTCCCATTCCACCCTTGAGTTAGGTAGCGGATGAGTTGTGTGCTAGGACACTTCTGTATCAGGTAGATATAATCATCTGAAACCAAGCAACAGAAAGGCTGTCTCAAAACCAGAAAATGCCCATGGAAGCTTGCTAGTAGAACAAGATGACACTCCCTGTTTCTTGTACTCCATCTCTAGGATGCGTTAAGCAGATACATTGTCCCCCTCTGTCTAGCTTTTAACTGATACTGCTGAGGCTATTGGTGGGTGAGTAGAAAGATACAAGGAACTGACCTCTTCACCAGTAGCACCTCTCCTTGTGGAGCTCCTTACTCAAGGAGGCCTGACAGGCTTTTTGGGGGCTGGTTGGGAGCTTCCTATTCAGAGCAATCTATGATTCATTTCACTGCAGTCTTGATTTTATCTAGGACAGAAAACTGGGGTCTGTGGGTCTGTGAGGGAATTGGGGGTGTCTGGCTGTAAAGACAGAGGATGAGCCCTTCTCATGCCGCCCAGGTCATGTGAAAACAGGGCCCTCACTGTTTCTTAGGAATGGAAGCAGCAGCTCTCTGCCACAAGAGGAAAGGGATGGAATCAGGTTTCTCCCTCTTCTGAAGGGCAGCATTTCACCTCCCTTCACCTCTAGTCACCTAGCTTCCAGATGACCTCTAACTACTAGCCAGAAAACATGCTGATTGGTTGCTGGACCCATATTCAGCCCTAGGAACTCAAACTGTTTGCTGAGTGGCACACACACAAAAAAAGTCCAGTCCTTATGCAACTATTGGGTTGGATCCAGTGATCTGTCAGAAGAATGTGCTGATAGTCACCCATCTTCACAGTTTTCTCCTCCCCAAAGAAGATCCTTTTAGACCCCAGTAAGGTTGATTCCAGGGTCATAGGTACTGTGTGGAGTAACAGCTATACTGATCAGGGAACTAAAGTGGAGTGGGAAAAGCTCCCCCCCATGTAGCTCCCCAACCCATGCTGGGGGGGGGAGAAATCTAAGATCTAACTTTATAGAAAATAAAAACATTCAACTGACTTTTAAAGTGTAGCTGATAAAGAATCTTACTGTACTGTTCTGAGGATGGAAGCATCCATCTTGTTGCACATACTCTGAAAAGGGGCCACTTGGCATGTGGTATGTGCTGGCAAGGGGGAAGGAGAGAGCTTGCAGGGAGGGTCTGTGAACAAAACTAAGAGAAGTGGGGGGTCCTCTGGCTGCTGAAGTCTTGAGAACCTCTGATCAAGAGCATGGTTGCTGTCTTAGTTTAAAATTACAATATTCAATCAATTTGTATTGAGAGCTGCCTTCAGAAGGCTAACCGGGCAGAATGCAAAAATTATAGGTAAATGAGCCTTTGGAATCTACCTGTGTGAAAGTATTGGAGCTGATGGATGTAGTCCATGGCTCCAGAGATCTGGCCCTGTTTGCACAAGCACAGAGCAGCTTTCTTGTGAGCACCACACCGGCTGTAGGCAATCTGAGCCAAAGCGAGACACTTGGATGCGTTGTGTGTGTTCTCCTCTCCATAGGCATAGATGGCATCACCTGTTTCCTCATTGAATGACAGTCTGCAGGAAACAAAGGCAATATGGCAAGTTGCAGGACTTTTGGGAGTTATGAGGAATTTCAAAGGAACTAACAACTCTTAACATTTCTATGTTTTAGAGAAGCCCTATTCAAACTGTGTTCCAGGGAACATTGAGGTTCTTTGGCAGCATACGAATGGTTCCTCAGTTTGTAGATCAGTTCTGGTGGATGAGTTTGCTTGCAAGCCAGTTTATCCACTACTACTGACCCCTACAACCGACAGATGCTGCAGGCTGTGTTCTAGGATGCATTCTTATTTAATTTAAGATGGCAGCAATGTCTAAAAGAAGACATGGCATGGCACCTTATGTAAATTGAAGGCTCACCCAAAAGCATTCAGAAGAACATAAGAAGAGCACTGCTGGATCAGACTAAAGGCCCATCTCTTGCAACATTCTGTTTTCCCCAACAACAGCCAAACAGATGCACCTGGAAGGCCTACAAGCAGAGTATGTTTCTGTTCTTCCAGGAACCACTGTTCCGAAGGACACTGCCTCTGAATACAGTCATCATGGCAAATAAGCATTGATGGCCCTAACATGCACACATTTATCTAACTCCCTTTTAAGCTCCCAGAGTCCTCTGCAATATGCCAGGATCCTGCGGCAAATGAGCTGATGTGCAGAGGGTTCCCTGAAGGTAGAAAACGTGAGAGCGACTGCTTCTGATGCTTCAAATAACTACAGTGATCCTTACAACTGTTCTGTAAAGTAGGGTTGATATTATTATCTGCATGTCACGGATAGAGGCCAAAGGCCAAAAGAGAGTGGCTAGCTAGGGCAACCTATGAAGGTCACAGCCAAGGTGAAATCTGAATCTTCCTGGCTTACAGCTCAAGAGTTTTTTCCCAGTATTGATCTATGTGACTGGCTCCACTCCCCGTGGCTGCACTTCCATGGTGGTCGCCTGTCCACTCAATGTTTGCAGCAATATTAAGGACCTCCGCCCTAATTCTATAGAAAGCCTGCAAGTTCGGCACGCTCACTGGTTGGAACAACTAGAAGTCCATTCATACATGAACTGGGGCAATGCCCAAGTGGAAGAGAGCCATGTTGTGAATGCTTCGTGTGCAGTCCAAAGCTTTAAATATTACCCAAGAGATACCCATGACCAGATTACTTCTGCTATGGCTTGGCTGCTTTGTGCAGGCAACAGACTGCCTTTGCTCTTCTCTCTATTGCTTAACATTGCACTGTCCTGATTTTCATAGTAACTGGTCCGATAGAGCCAGGGTGCCTTGGCTTCCGAGGCACTGCACTTCACATTTTGAACATTCTTACTCAATGAAATACACTTGGCATGTTTTATTGTTTCAAGGCTCCTCAGGAATAGTCCCAACATGCCTCTTACTTTTGCTGTGTGATCCAGTACATCACCAGATCTAACCGCTTCTCCGCCAAGGCACATTTGATGGCTTCTGTTGTCAAATTCGCTGGAAGAGGATACTTGACAGCCGTGCTTGTGCTTACAAGAGCTTCACAGTACATAAGCAGAGGGAGCATCTTCCCTTTAATACTGCCGATAGCTAAAGAGACAAGGTGGGGTGGGGAGGAGAGAAAATGCTTGAAGAAAGCACACTTTTGCCTGGGGCCGTTTGTACCTTTCCTCCTTCCCAATTCGGATTCCAACAAAGGAGGCCCAATTCTGATTTCAAAGTAAATCGTTGAAATACTTAAGGGAAAGGGCAAGAATTTGCTTACCTCACATTGTTTATTCAGTTCAAAAGGTTAAAAGAATTTGGACATTAACAGAAAGGTAAGTAGGTTCAGGAAATAAAAGATGTAAATGGAGTGGAAGGATGGAAAGGGGCGCTTGGAATAATGAGAAGCAGGGACTGAAAACAGCATTTACTGACAGCCCAAACACAGGAGATCAGATAGCTACAATAGGTCCAAACACACAAAATGCAGACAGATTGAAAACATGGAATAGATAAATGCTTTTGAAGAATTCACAAGCTTTGAATGGTAGCCTTAATAACATTCCTCTGCATTCAGTGTAATGTTCACCTGGCATACTGATGGTATTAGACAGAGCGTTGCCTCAGCCAAACAAAGAAGCTAAAAAGAGAAGAGATGATATCTGAGGCTCACCATACCCTTAAACTTCTCCATGGTCTCTTCATTCCGTAGAATACCTCTTGGGCAATTTGCTGCAAATATTGCTGCAGACTCATACTGGCCACGGGAAAATAACTCATTGAATCTAGACAAATTGAAGAACACACATTTCTAAGTGGCAGTGGGTAGACACAAGAACAACTGAATTCTTGGCAATGGGAATGCATTAGTTAGGTCTGGCCTTGCAGAGATCAAGAATAAAATGGGAAGGAGACTATCTTCTTCCATGTTCCTGACTTGCAACTATCTTCATTAGGCTGGCTGCAGTAGGAAGCAAATCACATCTCCCTGGGGCCCTGCCATGTCTCAATCAATGGGTGGGAACTATTCAGCAGGGAAATCAAAAGGTGAGTTCTCCTCCTCTGTGCAGGCATCCCCATTTGACCACTAGAACAGATGAATCAGGGAGACCAGATCAATGCCCTGTGTTGTTTAAGAGAACATTTGGGGCAAACTAAATACCATTTGGGGTTAAAGCAGTGCTTTAGCAGTGCTAAAATTACTGATTTTGGGAATATTCCAGAATTACTATCTGGCTGACTATAAAGATTGTGGTTATATTAATTTTCTTTTTAAATGCAGTAAAAGTTTTGCTAATTGGTGCCTGGTTAACTGGACAGCTTGCTTAAATGGATGGGCACTGGCCAAGTGACCTGGGTGCAAGCTCAGTAAAAACTTTGTTATCCAGCATATTTGGTTAAGCAGCAATCTCAGGAGTTAACAAGGCCTTTACTATATTACTGATTTATTGTTTTGTTCTTATCTTATTACCTGTCTTGGGTTCCCACTGTGTCAGGAAAAAGACAGGTCTTGACAAATTTTTAAATAAGTAAATACAGAGTCTAATAAAGTGGTTCTAGTAAAATGTTGAAGTAATGCAAAGTGCTTGATGTGCCAGGAATTTTCACATGCCTAGTGAAGGAAAAGGGAGAAGAAGGAGCACAGGCCAGAGGGCTCTCTGGGCACCTGATCACCTTACCTTTCAAGGTACTCAATCAAGTCCGCTGCCTCTTTGGCTTGGGTGGGGTCACGTTCAAATATGCATGAGCTGCTGGAGACAACTGGACCTGAAAGGTCAGATCCACCAATCGGAAAACAAAACCAACATTAATGTTACCAAAACTAGGAACCATGGATGACTAGAAATTTAGAATGGTAGTCTGTTACGGGTGCTGAGAAATCTGTTAGAAATGCCTAGCACACAGGGCAGAACTATAATTCCCAGAGTCCTCTGGGGAAAGGTAATAATTTGGTTCCTGTCAATTAGATTTTTTAAAACCAGAGGCCCTTGCTCTGTATGCCTGTACTTTCACGGGCTACATGGGTGAGCACTAGAGACAGGGCCTCTTCTGTAGTGGCACTCGAGCTCTGAAATTCCCTTCCTACTAAGATTTGCCTGACACTAAATGTACAGGCTCTGACTTGCTAAGCAAAGATGTTTGAGCCAGTTTGGTGCAGTGGTTAGGAGTGCAGGGTCTCTAACCTGGGAGAACCAGGTCTGATTCCCCACTCCTCCACATGCAGCTGCTGGTGTGACCTTGGGTGAGCCACAAGTTCTCTCAGAGCTGTTCTCTCAAGAGCAGTTCTCTCAGATCTCTATCAGTCCTACCCACCTCACAGGGTGTCTGTTGTGGGGAGAGGAAGGGAAGGAGATTGTAAGCAGGGCCGGCCCGAGGGGGTTGTGCGCCCTAGGCGAGGCCGCCTCGTGGCGCCCCCCCTCAGATGCCAACCTCCCGGTGGGTCCTGGAAACCTCCCAGCAGGCAGGCAGGAAAGCGCCCCCCCCGCCACCGGTTGGTCAGTCGCACGATCCCTCCTCCCCCCTCCTGAAGAGGTGGCGGCAGAGGAGGAGGAGAGGAGGAGGAGGCGGCAGCAGGAGTAGGGGCAATATAGGGGGCAGTGGTAGGGGGCGGGCGGCAGGCAGGCGAGCACCGCCCCACCGGCCGGCCGGTTGCGCGCTCTTTT